TAAACAAGGCTTTGTTACGTCATAACTGTTTTGAAATGTTTCGAAATTTTAACAGTTCACCACTGAGGGGAGAGCTCTCTGAAGCCTTTTTTATTGACTTCTAATAAAAACAGAACATATAGGCTGTATAACCATACAGACAGAAAGACTGAAAGGCATTAAGTTTTTATTGCTCGATGTCGTTTCCAAATATATTTTAACATAGATTTTAAATGGTTCAGAATTTGGTATTTTTCATTTCATTGACTTCATTAATGTAATAATGGGCAATTATAATAATGAAATAAATTAGGGAGTGACGGAGATATATAGATAGATAGATAGATAGATAGATAGATAGATTAAAATAGGTTAAAATCGATTTTAAAAAATAAGTATATAAACAAATTAATAAACATATTAAAAGTCACCTGAATATGTTCACAGATTTGTGTTGGATGTTCTCTTCAGAATGGAAATATAATTAAATAATTGATTTGTAAACATCATACTTTTACCGCTTATTTCAGTGAATATCATAATACTAGTAAGCTAAGTCAATAGAAGTGATGAGTGCGCTCGAAACACTACTTCATGAAGCTTCGAAACCTTTACGAATCTTTTGTTTCGAATCATTGATTCGGAATGTGTTTCAAACTGCCAGAGTCACGTGATTTCAGTAAACAAGGCTTTGTTACGTCATAACTGTTTTGAAATGTTTCGAAATTTTAACAGTTCACCACTGAGGGGAGAGCTCTCTTAAGCCTTTTTTATTGACTTCTAATAAAAACAGAACATATAGGCTGTATAACCATACAGACAGAAAGACTGAAAGGCATTAAGTTTTTATTGCTCGATGTCGTTTCCAAATATATTTTAACATAGATTTTAAATGGTTCAGAATTTGGTATTTTTCATTTCATTGACTTCATTAATGTAATAATGGGCAATTATAATAATGAAATAAATTAAGACGATTTTTACCATCACAGTCAGGATTCGAACTCGTGACGCCTAAAGAACAACGGCTCTAGCACATTGCCCACAAGACCATCGACGCCAACAAGACACCATGTAGGTTTTAATTCGTTAACACTTGTCTGATTTAGATCAGAACTTCGGAGCAGATTCATGAATCTTTTGATTTAGATCGGGACTCAGGAGCGGGTTCGCGACTCGTTTCAAATCGGGACGCGCTCCATTCGCGAATTATTTTATTTCGATCAGAACTTCAAAGCAGGTTCGTGATTTAGATCGGGACTCAGGAGCGGGTTCATGAATCATTTCAGATCATGACTCAGGAGCGGGTTCGTGAATCATTTCAGATCGGGAAGCACTTTGTTTCGCAAATCATTTGATTTAGATCGGAACTTCAGAGTGGGTTCGTGAATCTTTTGATTTAGATCGGGAGTCAGGAGCGGGTTTGTGAATCATTTCATATCGGGACACAGTCCGTTCACGAATCATCTAAAGTAGATCGGAACTTCGGAGCGGGTTCGTGAATCTTTTGATTTAGATCGGGACTCAAGAGTGGGTTCGTGAATCATTTCAGATCGGGACGCACTCTGTTCGTGAATCATTTCCCTCATAGCACACGTACATCACGGAGACATCTATTTGACCTCTGCAAGACGTATTTTTTAGAGTGTTTGCTCATCTGCAATACGTCTATAGGACGTTTCGTATCAGATGTCAAATAGATGTTTAGAAGATGTCTTTAAGATGTTTATGATTTAGAATGTACGTAAAACTGACATCTTATAGACGTCTGTCAGATGTTTGTACACAGCAGATGCTCTCCAGATGAAGTGATCTTTAACAGACATCTTGCAGACGTACGTGTACTATCTGGGTTGATTTAGATCGGAACTTCGAAGTGGGTTTGTGAATCTTTTGATTCTCTTTGATTCGGGAATTTAAGTGCGTAGTGAATCACTTGATTCATTCAGGAAGTAAGAAATGCTATTTTATGAATGGATCAGTGAATCATTGATTCACCCGATTTGTTCAAAACTCAAATTCATTTAGTAAGGAAACTCCGCTGTGTTGCTGCAGAGACGCTCAACATGGCTTTGTCTGGTTTTGTTAGCGAAATAGAGCAAAAAAAGACCATCACCTTGTTTTTTTTGTTTTTTTTACAGATTTTGATTCAGACGGACAGAACCATGTGTGTAATGATTTGCTTCAGACCTGATTACGCTCCGCTGTGTTGCTGCAGAGACGCTCAACATGGCTTTGTCTGGTTTTGTTAGCGAAATAGAGCAAAAAAAGACCATCACCTTGTTTTTTGTTTTTTGTTTTTTTTTTACAGATTTTGATTCAGACGGACAGAACCATGTGTGTAATGATTTGCTTCAGACCTGATTACACAAATGATTCCTAGTGACTCTCATGAATCCTCCGAACGAGTCTATTTATGCAAAGCACTTTCATAAGGAGCTACTTATGTCTTTAGCAATGGCTTTATATCTCGTCTCCTGTGCTATTATGAGGCGCAGCTGCGTGTTTTTGATACGCGTAACGCTCTGGTGGGTTAAGTCATCTGAGCTTGAACTTACACACACACGCGGAACTAATGAAGATACGCAGCAGGTAATGAGCAAAGGTGTCATTTCACATCTCTTCAATTCGGCCCCTACGGAGGCAGCTGCCTCGAAATATCTCAGAGCGTAAGAGGATTCATAACTTTATGAACAGAGTTTGTGTGCGAGTGTCACGATGGCGTGCGCACTGCATTATGGGATCTACAGTGGCGCCAAACAAATCCTGACCGACATTTCATTTTAGTTGTGCAAAACAATTAGCCAACATTTTAAAAGCCTAATTGGTTTTTAATCAGATAAAGGCACATTTAGAGCGGCTAAATGTCAATGAGGCTTCGATTTGACAGAACAACTCTAAACCAGATGAATCTTTTTGCCTCGGATGATTCATGGTATTTTTTCATAATGGTTTATTTTTAATGGCTCTGGTCTCAAGAAAAGCTTTTAATCTTTTCTTTTGTGATGGTTAGAACTGAATAAACAGCAATTTACTGACCTCTGAACTTTAGAAAACTACTTTCCAGAAAGCAATTTATAAAAACACCACATTTTCAAGAGCCAAAGCTCATTCTAGGCCAATTGATTTTCATGACCTTTACAAAATTTTGTGATTAATAGATAAGGATTTGAAGCAGTGTTAATTTTGACAGCAAATTTTGATTTAGTTTTAGTCATAGTCTTTTGACTAAAATGCCGTTTAGTTTTAGTCATATTTTAGTCATCTTGAATTGTTTTTAGTCTAGTTTTAGTAAAACTAAATCTACAGTAAACTTAGTCGGCTAAAATAGAATGGGTTAGTTACAGTGCATTTATGAAGCATTTCTCTAAAATTTCCAAACTCATTATATAGGTTTGATATTAAGGTTTTAGCATGATAGACACCGATTTAACTGCGGTGACACACAACATGCCTTCATATTAAAATTAAATAAAACCACTTCTCATAAAGAACAAGAACATGGTATTCTTTTTAATGAAATACCAATGGTTATACAGGCTAATTATGCGTTCTTTATAGCAACTTTTTTACCATATTCTTCATTCTTTCAAGCAGACATATTTATTTCTATAAATAAATTTAGATTAATCTTTAGGGCTACTAAAGTTTTTCAGTCAAGAACAGTGCGTGATTTTCTGTCTTTCTTTTGTTGCTTGATTAACATCAATGACTCTGACAATAGCAACTAAATTAGGCTGCTGTCATCCGGATGCACAGATGCAATGTACTGATACATGTTCTCTCTTGCGTCGTCAGATTTATCCATATGTCTGCTCTTCTCTTACTCCCACATATTGACATTTTTGAACGTTTTATGCGACGGGCAGCAAGTGTATGTTAGCTTATGTCCCGCCGGTTCATATGTACGCATCTAACCTCCGAACCACGGAGATTGGAACCACGCAGCAGATTCGTTCTGAATGAATCTCTTCCCAAATCATCCCTCCCTAACATTTTCGTCTCGTTTTTATTCGTTGACGAAAATATCAATAGATTTACGTCATAGTTTTTGTCATTCAAAAAGAGTTTTAGTTCGTTATCGTCTCGTTGTCGTCGGTGAAAAAAATGTCACTGACGAAAATTATGACGAAAATTATTCGTCAACGAAATTAACACTGATTTGAAGAAGCATTTAGACTGAATTTGGGGAAAGTAACTAATTTATAAACTGGGTCATGTGATTCATTACAAAAACCAATTAAAAAAAAATAATTTGCTCGCAAATTGGAAATCACCACATACAAAACCTGTATACAAGAACAAAACCTAGCTAATTACATATTTTTTAGAAAAATGTATAAATTCAACATTGAAATTTCTCTGCATTTATAAATTTTTTATGAATGATTTATATTATAAATGTAAAAATATTTGATTATTGATTAATTACTACAATTACCTATTTATTATTCATTCATACATTTATTTTTATTGGTATTATTTAAACCAGGTTTTTCATTGCTTTCCCAGTTAAATAAATACAGTAAAAAACAAAGCACAGTTTCACTTCACATTTTATTACAATCTTTCCTAGTACTTCTGCACAGATAAACATTTGCCATCATCAGTATGCAAGCTGTGGTGGGTTAATTTATTAAACCTGCCCCTTGTGACGTTTCTGTTAATGCAAAGCAGAAACCCCAGAAACAGAGGAGAACAAATGCCATCGACACACTGCGTCTAGTGTCAGAGCAGCCGTAGGCGTCACTGGAGGGCGGAAAACAACAGTGTTGAGATGAGAATGGTGGTTGTCACATTGAACGGAAGGAGAGCACTCATGAGTTTCAAACCTCAGTATGCACTTCATACGTAAAGGCGTAATTCAGATGTTATTATTAAAAAAACATGCAAAATGAAAGTGGGAGGAATAATAGTATGAAATTTTAAAAAGAAATCATGATGTATGAGAATATATAGAAAATGAAGGGCTGTCAATTTAATATTTTAATAACTTCATCTGGGGACTTTGCTTGTATTAATTTATCTTGCATTTTGAACAATTCTCCAAAATCTTTGGCATGCTCAAATGAATGATTATTCCATCTGAAAATATGTGGCCATTCTTTCGGTTTAGCGAAGAATTGGGAGCAAGGGATTGTGGGAAGGGTCTGAAGAGTGCGGCATCCCCCAAAGCTATGTACTGGGTTCGTTTTGGATTCAGTCTAAACGACGATCCTGTCTGCAAAGGTCTTATCAGAGTGTTTGTTTCCAAATCAATAGAGGGGCGCTGAAGCAAATTCTCAATGCTATATGGATGATGAACCCGCAAATATCGGCGGAGGAGGTGTGCCGATCGATAATCGCTCTCATCAGAAAACGAAACAAGGATGGGCAAACAACAAAAAGGAGAAAAGAAATACAAAGCAACAACCAGACCCTTTATTTGAATGTGACATGGCATTTGATAAGACTAGAAGTTACACTGAAGAAAATTTTTCCAATTCATGAGCAGGACATCTAGTATGTACACCTCATTGTGGGTCACTTGACCCGGATCACCCCTCAGTAGTCTAAGACCTCTATAGCACCTTGAGAAGGCGGATTGCGTATCTGTTTAATATCACCTATGACTATACGCTTACATGTACGCCACTTCAACCTCTTGAATAAAAATGATAAATTCAGCTTTTTTTTCATCTTTCGACATTGTGTTGCAAAGATTCACCAAAAAAAAAAAATCACTAAAAATAACAATCATAACAACAACGGTAATCATAATAAAAAACAGACAAGGTGAATAGTATTCAATATCAACGTCTACCAAGTATGCTACAAAAACAAATCATCGGTGTCTGAAAAAACATTTTATCGTTGATTATAGAAGAATACATTAAGACGCGCGAATCTATCGTAACACAAATGTGTACACTAACTGAAAACTGTAGCTTCTGATGCTGCCATAATTGATTTTCTTTATACAAATATTAAACCTATATGTGACAAAAGACATTTAAATACTTGTTAAATCCCATGAGCCCAGCTAAACCCCCCCACCCCCGAACACTTGAGTACAGAGAAAAATACCTGAAACTGTACAGATATAGACTGTCTATTTGAACTGTGACCGGGTAGCATGATGTTTTGGCTTGAGTTAGAAAAATATTTAGCCCTCATTAGAGAACAAAATCAGGTATAAATTTAACAGCACATACAGTGAATGATTATCCCATCTAAAAACGGCGGCTCTTTCCGTTTAGTGAAAGAACCAGAGCGAGGGATCGTGGAAAGGGTCGGAAGAGTGCGGCATCCCCCAAGGCTATGTACTGGGTCCGTTTCGGCTTCAGTCTATAATGACACGCATGCGTCCCACGCGCACCATTCATGGGTGGGAAACTCAGATTAGCACAACAGCGAATAAATGAAACAAAGACATGCAGTGGATGAATTTAAAGTCTGTATGAAGCATTGACAAATAGCTGGTAGCGCATAACAGCACTTCAATACATCGGCTCAACGCCATGTTCACCCTCTTCTGGAGGAAAGTCCGAGTTGAGGAGAGACTCCATGTAGGCTATGTAGCTGGAGCTGTGGGTGTAACTCTCACTGGGTTCCGGGGCAGGAAGTGTGGGTGCTGAAACAGGAAGTGATGTGGGGGGAGGCAGGCAGGGGGCAGTGCTGGTGTTTGGAGTAATAGTAGCGGGCAGGAAAGCGGTGACTATTCCTGGAGGTAGCGCCGAGGGCTCAATGGCTAGTGTGGGTGGCGGTGTCGGCAGACGTGGGCGTTTCGCGGCCAGAGGTTCGTCTGACGGTTGCGCCTGAGGTTGCTGTTGGTTCACAGTTGCCTGTTGAAAAGGAAAAAGAAGACAATAATCGTTCAGCGATGTCAGTCAGAACCCTCCAAATGGACTCCAACTGCACTGTTAGCTTGAAAAACCACGAAAGCCGTAAAATGTTAAACCTGCACTTTGACTTCACGTTGATGAATTCTGTGTGCAGAAACATACGGTACTTGGCCCTAAGTGAATAAAAGTGCTTACCAGACGAGACATGACCCTCTTAGGCAGCTCTTGGTTCAGAGAGTGAATCTCGCTACGCTTCAGTAAGATCTGCGTCTCATCCTGAAACTCCACCTGGAAAGAAATACAGGCAGTTTAGATGCCTCGGACCCTTTTCTTGGAACCACTTTCCTTCATACAATCCAAGTTTAGAAAAACTAACTAGCATCATTTCCAAGCTTTTGTGTCAGTTTGCTTGGCGGCCATCTTTCTAACACTCTTGGGAAACAACTTTCCAGTTATACAAGTAGAACATAGAAAATATAAATACAAAAAAAAAAACGGTTGAAAATCTGTTAAATGTTGTTAACTAAATTAAAAAGAAAAGCAATTATATATAAATAATTTAATCTTTAAATATAACACTCAATTATATATGTGTGTGGGTAAAATACTTCAATTCAAATTAAATATAATTATTATATTTAATATAAATGTATAATTATATATTAATGTATATGTCGATTATTTTAAATAACTATAATCATATAAAATTATGATATGAAATGAATATATAGGTGTGTGTATATATATATATATATATATATATATTAATTTAAATATGTACAAAATATTCAAATTATATTTTTTATTATAAAATGTAGGGCACACGTCCTGACAATACATAAATCCACATGAATTCTGTAATGCAAAATCTAATGCTAATGTATCATTGCTGTTGATAGAGCTGTAAAAACTGCATTTAACCCAGAATATTCCTTTAAATCTCTTATATTATTTTTGATTGGAAGAGCATCCAACAACAACATAAGCTGCAAACTTTCAACCAGTCTGCAATCAACACCCTCTTCCATATCAATTCCCAACGGCTTCAAGACCTGTCAGACTTACAGACATCCAGTTACAGATCGCCCGCAGCGAGTGGGAGAGCGCTTGTCGCGTCTTGCAAAGGTAAAAGTGACGTCATGAAAGCACTTGTTACGAGTGCCATGACTCACACGGATCTGATAAATAATGGAGTCTTGTGGCGGAGCAGAGAATCAAGCGGTTCGTTAATGCTGACAGAGGAGTCTCTCAAGAGTTCAGCCGAGCAATGAAACACTGTGTGTCTGTGTGTGTGTGTGTGTGTGTGTGTGTGTGTGTGGGTTTGAGTTTTAATGAGAAAGAATTTGACGAGAAGCAAAACTAGTTCATACAATGTGTCAAACAATGTATTAACATAGTTTGGTAAGCCTCATTTTAGGAGAAAAACTGAAAAAACATGTTCGGATACGCTTTCTGGTAGTTTCTGAGTCACTTTTCCATTCAAATGTGACCCAGATGTGAATTAAAGCATCGACCCATCACTGCACAAGAACACAAAAGCACTTCCTGTGAGGAGCGGCGTGTGTACGTGAAATAGCAGATGAATGGCGGTCTACTCTCGCCGTCTGCGGTCCATCACACCTCATAAGCTTCATCTACAGACTCCGTAAATCCCCCATGCGCCACATCTGCCTACTTTTCTAATTTTCCCATTAATCTCGGCTCCCTTCCGCTCAATACATCTACGGCTGCTCTGTGTACGAGGAAAGTGAACTTTGCACCAAATGTGGGACTCCTGAAAGACTCGGATGAGATGTGGAATTACAAGAAACTGACTTAAAGATTTAGGTTCTTGACTTAAAAATTGGGTTTCACTACAGGTCTTAACTATATACAGAACAAAACAATAAAATATAATAATATACAATTAACTATAATACAGTAGAAATATAATACAGTAGAAAACAAACCGCAAAGCAAACAAAGAAAGTAATGAAATGGTTTGGTTTGAAACGGATTACTCTTTATATATATATGGGGCATAAATAAATACAAATAAAAAATGTAGACGTCGTAGTTACCTGGTAGTATCGTTGGACATGTTCCTTTATGAAAGACGCGTTGAGAACCCGTCCATCGATTGTCTTGACCACCACGAATTCGCCCAGTTCTGGAGGGCCGTTCCTCAGACAGTCGTGACTCTGGGACAGAGAAATCAAACAGATGATGGATCAAACAGACAGTTGTAGCTCTAAAATCTGATTGGATGAGCCGAATTAATGGGCCAAAGCCACTTGCCAACCATAATAACCTAGAGGTAGATTTAGCCAATCTAGATTTCGACCAATCAGCATCCAGGACCAGAGCTATGCATTTTAGACCACAATAAGCCACAAGATGCCAGACATTACAGTTATTTATTTATTCCCCATGACTAAGGTTTCAGTAACCAAAATCTCTTAAATCTGTTTGGATGAGCCAAACAAATTCGCCAAAGTGTGGAAGCCCATTTCCATCATAGCATTAAAAAGGGTAATTGCGACTACCGTATTGACCCGAATATAAGACGATGTTTTTTTCTTGGAAATACATCTGAAAAAACGCGGTCGTCTTATATTCGGGCCAATACGGTATTTATCTCACAATTCTGACTTTTTTTCACAGAATTGCATGATATAAACTCATAATTATGAGTTACAAAGTCTGTAAAAAGAATTCTGACTTTTTCTCAGTTTTTTCATATAATTCAGACTTTATTATTTTCACAGAATTACGATTTTATATCACTCAATTCTGACTTTTTTTTCTCACACCTGGGAGATTAAATCTTACAATTCTGACTTTTTTCTCACAATTCAAACTTTTTTCCTGCAATTGCGACTTCATATCATGCAATTTAGACTTTTCCACACAATTCTTACTTTTTATCACAAATGTGAGTTTATCATGCAATTCTGACTTTTTCCATCGCAATTCTATTTTTTTTCTCGCAATTGCGAGTTTATATCACGTAATCCTGACTTTTCTCAGAATTGTGAAATATAAACTCACGAATGCATGCTATAAAGTCAGAATTGCGCAGATACTCACAATTCGGAGAAATTAAGTCAGAGTTGTGATATAAACAAAAAAAAAAAGTTTATATATCTCGCAATTCTGAGAGAAAAAAGTCAGAATTGTGAG